AAGCTCGCAGCCACCCTACCCACCCTCTGCATCAGTTTCCTGCGCTCCCTAAGGACAGAAAATGAAATATCCCACCAACGCTGGGCTCCTTACATGAGTGTCAGGTGTCGGAGGGTGGGCAGCTCCTTGGGCACGGCTGTTAAGTGGTTTCCTTCCAGGTACCTGAAAGAGAGGTGCAGAGTCACGTTGGGCAAAGAGATACTGCGCACACTGCCGTTATCTCAAGATGCCTCTCCCGACTTCCCAGGCTGGACTGGGTCCCTGTTTTGCTCTCTCATGGCTCTTTCCCCCCCCACTTCAAAGCATATACTACATTTGTCATCTAATATTTATTTGTGTGATTGCTCAACTAATGACACTTTTCCCCACTGGGCTGCTAAGCTCCATGATGGCAGGGCTCTTGCTTAAAACTGCCCAGGGTTGGAACCCCCTAAGACTGTACAGAGTGGCACACAGTAGGTGTTCAATAAATTATTTGTTGAATAAAGCACCTACTCTGTACCTGGCCTGCACAATACCCTTACATGGCAGGGATTCACAGTTGAGAAAACAGAAGTTCAGAGATGTTAAAACGCTTGCCCAAGGTCACACAGCGAGTGGTTGAGTTAGGACTTGAACCCAGGTCTCTCTGACTGCAGTTTTATCACAGTTCCAAATGGCCTCTATTTAGCTACCGCAGTGTGTGGAGAGCTGAGCCATTAAGAACCCTAATTCCGTGTTGAGTATCTCTGATATGCATCTGGAAACTGAGGAGACAGGGCATGTTCCTGGAGCCCTGTGCTATAGTCCCCAGCAGGAGGACCACGTGCAGAACGGGACGGGGCTCAGAATGAGGCCGCACCAACAGAAGGAGACCCCTCCTGAATGGGCAAAGGCTGAGCCTAGACCTGCCTGGACTGCGGGCTTCTGTGCCAACCTGCTCATCAGACACCCGAGCGTGGCTGAAGATAGAGAAGGAAGTCGTGTTTTGGTGATGAATTACAAAGGTTATGACTACCCTAAAGGGGGAACATGGGCTGATTCATTTATCCCCACCCTTGCTGTAGACCCCTTTCCCTGGGCTTCCTGTTGCTCTAAGGACAAAATAGCAACATCTTTCAGATGGCTTATAAGGTCTGCTCTCGTCTCCTGGGTGAGTCTCCCTTGATATAAAGCTCTCATAGCTTCCTCTCCCATAACAGTCAACATCCAGCTGCTGCTGTTCGTTGGTGCCGTGCCTGCCTCAGGCTCCACGAAGGCAGACCTTAGGTCTACCTTATTCTAGCTCAGGGCTTCTTAAACTGTAATGTACATATGAATCACCTGGGATCTTGCTAAAAAGCAGATTCTGATCCAGTAGGTCTGCCATCAGGTTGGAGAGTCTGCATTCTTGATAGGCTCTTGGGAGATGGTGGAGCTCATTCATGGTCTACAGGCCACATTTTGAGTAATGACGTGCTAGCACACTGCCTGGCATCCAGCAGACCCAGCACAAAATGACTGAATGGGGTGAAATGGGTTAAAATATGATATGGGTAAGTGTGTCACAATGACCAAACCGGGCTTAGCTTTAGGGACAACTTGTCCTTACCTTACCTTAAAGGTAAGGCACTGGGCATTACCTTAAATTAAGACCAAGTGACTTTATTCCCTTGGCTGGCCCTGAGGGATCCTCGTGGCACAGAACATTGGGCAGGACCCCACACGGCCTCTGGTTGCCATGGCATGTTGGATTAATGTCCCTTTGGTCCTCAATCTTTGTTGTACATCTATTGCTCTAAGAACTATGCTAGATGCTGGGGGAGACACAAAGATGAACCAGACCCCATTTCTGCCTTCAGGGAGCTTGATCATCTGACTTAAAATTCAGCCGCGCACACGCGTTTAGATTATGCCCTCAGGCAGAGGAGCTAAGAGAAATGTATTCACTGATGTAGTCATTTATTCAGGCAGAAATATTTATGGGGCAACGGCAATGTGCCAGGTACCGTATGTACTGGTGAATAAGTTAGGGGTGGTGCCTACTTTCTGGCATTTAAAAATCTAATGTGTGTGTGGGAAGGAAGGAGGGAGAAGGGAAGGAGAGAGTGAGAGTGAGAGAGGGAGAGGGAGGGAGGGAGAGAGAAGGGACACACACATAAAGTAATATAAATTACAAATTGCAATGTGTGCTTTGAAGGAAAGGAACAAGGTGTAGTGATAAGACAATGCCCAAAGCTTCCTGCAGAAAGATGCAGCCAAGGAGGAGATGCAGCATAGGAGACTGCAGCCTGGGGAGGGCCCTGAACTTGAAGGAAAGGCTGGGGAGGCCAAAGTCTGGTGGGTGAAGGGAGGACAGCGGGAGGTGGGGCAGATCACACTGTGGTCAGTTCATTCACCTGTCAGAATGGCTATTGTCAGAAAGGCAAGAAACAACAAGTGTCAGCAAGGATGTGGAGAAAAGGTAGCCCTCGTGCACTGCTGGAATGTAAAATGGTGCAGTCACTATGGAAAACAGTATGAAGTTTCCTCAAAAAACGAGAAATTGAACTACCATACATCCAGTAATTCCACTTCTGGGAATTTAGCTAAAGAAAACGAACACACTAATTTGAAAAGATACATGTACACCCCGGGCTTCCCTGGTAGCGCAGTGGTTAAGAATCCGCCTGCTAATGCAGGGGACACAGGTTGGAGCCCTGGTCCAGGAAGATCCCACGTGCCGCGGAGCAACTAAGCCCGTGCGCCACGACTACTGAGCCTGCACTCTAGAGCCTGTGAGCCACAGCTACAGAGCCCACGTGCCACAACTACTGAAGCCCACGCGCCTAGAGCCCGTGCTCCGCAACAAGAGGAGCCACCGCAATGAGAAGCCCACGCACCACACGATGAGTAGCCCCCGCTCACCTCATCTAGAGAAAGCCCATGGGCCCCAACGAAGACCCAACACAGCCAAAAATAAATAAAATACATAAATTTATATAAAAAAGATACATGTACCCCAATGTTCATAGAAGTCTTCTTTACAACAGCCAAGCCACAGGAGCAAACTAAGTGTCCATCAGTAGATGAATGGATAAGGAAGACGTGGTATATATACAATGGAATACTACTCAACCATGAAAAGAATGAAATTCTGCCATTTGCAGCAACATGGATGGACCTAGAAGGTATTATGTAAGTAAAATAAGTCAGACAGAGAAAGCCAAATACTGTATGATTTCACTTAAATGTGGAAACTAAAAAACCAAAATAAAGGGGCTTCCCTGGTGGCGCAGTGGTTGGGAGTCCGCCTGCCGATGCAGGGGACACGGGTTCGTGCCCCAGTCCGGGAAGATCCCACATGCTGCGGAGCGGCTGGGCCCGTGAGCCATGGCCACTGAGCCTGCGTGTCCGGAGCCTGTGCTCCGCAGCGGGAGAGGCCACAGCAGTGAGAGGCCCGCGGACCGCAAAAAAAAAAAAAAAAAAAAAAAACCCCAAATAAAGCAGAAACAAACTCCCAGATACAGAGAACTGGTGGTTGCCAGAGAGGAGGGGGCCAGGGGACAGATGAAATAGGTGAAGGGGATTAGGAGATACCCATTTCCAGCTATAAAATAAATAAGTCACGGGGAGGAAGTGTACAGCATAAGGAATATAGTCAACAGCACTATATATGATGATGGATGGTAACTGGTCTTACTGCAGTGATCATTTCATAATGTATAAAAACATTCAATCACTATGTACCTGAAACAAATACAATATTATATCTTAATTATAATTCAATTTTAAAACCCCTCAGACTCCCTAAAAACCAAAGGGCAAGGAGAGGCCATGACTGCAGACAGGTGCAGGGGCCGGCATTTTGGAGAGCTTCCTGAATGCCTCTTGCCCAGCATAACCTGCAGGACATTTACATTTTGTGTGGACACTGGCCCTGCCCCTCATCAGGTGATGGCGGGTGGAGGGGCAGGCATCTGAGGGGAGGCTTCCAGCTCTCTCTGCTGGGCAGGGAGGCTGCAGGCATGGTGGGATTCCGAGGTCTATGCAGGCTGAAGGAGGGGAGACAAGCCGTGCTGGGCCGCCACCTGGTCACCTGCAGGAAGTGCTTTGTGGATGAGTGGCATGGAGGGAAGCTGGGAGGCAGAAGCTGGATGAATGAGCAGGGCTGCTGGGGAGCCGCTGGTCCAGAGAGCATCTCTGCTAGAGGGAGACTAGTTAACCCCAGGGGAGGGAGCAGCCTGAAGGAATCTGGCCTCAGCCTGGCAGCACTCTCTCACCCTCTTCCGCTTCTCATTCTCTGATTCTCTCTCGTTTGTTTGCTACAATTACTTAGCAAACTTGAGGCATCTAAGCTGAAACGCAGAACAAAACACCGAAACCCCAAGTCTCCTTGCTGGGGTCTCTTTAGAAGACAAGTACATCGGAGGGTGGGCCTATGGCTTGGGCTTGCTGTGTGGCTTGAGGTACGTTACTCAACCTCACAGACAGCACAATGACAAGGACAATAACAAAACCAAGACAAAATTCACCGGCATTAGCTGAGGTGTACATGCCAGTGCTTTGGGAGAAAGATTCTGGTCTGTGATCTCCTTTAATCCTCTGGCGTTGGGGGATGTATTTCGCTGGGTATATTTGCCCATTTTGTTGGCAAGAACACCGAGGCGCAGAGAGGTATAAACAGTGAGCTCCGGAGCTGGGATCTAAACGCAGACCTGTTGGACTCCTGAGCCCGAGAAGTCAGCCCTATGCTGCTTCACCTCGCCACCTTGTGTCTCTTCTTTTCGCTTTCGGCCGTCTCAGCCCAAGAGGATATGCTCGACTCTGTAACTGATTTGCTAACGCTCACTAGAATGTAAGCTGCACGAAGCTCGGTGTTTTGCCAGTTTTGTTTCCTGCTGTATCCCAGAGCATAGTATGCTCAGCTCAGCTCATGGTAGGGCCTCAAATATTTGTTGAATGAATGAATGAATGTGGTGAAAGGCTGTTCACAGGACCTTGGATTAAAAAGACAAAAACCTACAGTGGTGTCAAGGAGTGCCCTTGGCCTGGCCTAGTTCCATCTGCAGGGCAGGCCGTGCTCCACAAATGCATGCACTTGCTAAACAGTTGAATAAATGCACAAATGACCACTGGGATTCAGGGACGCTGACAGCATCCTCATCTGACACAGGGAGGTTCAGGACCCTGGAGGATGGGCAACATGACACAGATGATTCTGGAGCCTCTGGAGCCTACCATGCCAGTCGCCCTGGGCTCTAGCCTGGCTCTGGTTAGGACTATGCTGATTATATCAGCCTCTCTCCCTGCTTAAAATCCTTCCCTGTCTTCCACTGCTTGTTGGAGAAGGGCCACCCAACTCATGCTCAAATCCTGCAAAGCCTTCTGTGGTCTGTCCTGTACCAGTCAGGATTCTCCAGAGAAACAGACCGACAGGAAATACGAATATATTACATATACACATATATTAATACACACACATATGGAGAGAGAGAGAGAGAGAGAGAGAGAGAGAGAGAGAGAGAGAGAGAGAGAGAGAGAGAGAGAGAGAGAGAGAGAGAGATATGAAGAGAGAATTTATTCTGAGGAAGGCCAGGCAGGCAGACTTGAAATTCAAGCAGGACTTTTATGTTACAGTCAGGAGGCAGAATTCCCTGTTTTCCAGGAAACCTCAGTTTTTTGTTCTTAAGGTCTTCAACGGATTTTATGAGGCCCACCTCCACATTAGAAAGGGTGATCTCCTTTACTTCAAAGCCAACTGACTGCAGATGCTGACGCGTCTACAAAGTACCTTCACGGCAACATCTAGCTCACGTTTGCCCAAACAACTGGGCACCACAGCGTGGCTGAGTTGACACACGAAATTAACCCTTGCAGTCCCTGCCTGCCTCTCTGCCCTGACCTCTGGTTCCACCTCCACTGACCTTACCCCTCCTCGAACGCCCCACGTTCCGCTTGGTGCGGAGGCAGGTCTTTGCACCCGCTGGTTCCTCTTTTCTCTCTCTGTCTAGTTACCTCACATAGATGCTCAGGCCTCTGCTTGAGCATCGCTTCCCTGATACCACCCCCTGCACCCCCTGGGGACATCCTTTACATGAATTTGTGATGATGGGGCAGAACCATATCTGTTTTGCTCACTAGAGCATCCCTGTACACTAGCGGGCAACAGTAGATGCTCAGGAAACATCGCCTGTGTGACGAAGACCCCAGAACTCCCCAGGTGCTGTTGCATTTGGCACTGCGGAGCCAAGTGGGAGCTGCGAGGGAGCTGTTTGAAGGGCAGAATGTCCCTGGCGACCTGGCATCGAGGCTCAGAAGACGCGGAATCAAAAGGTTTCACTTTCAGAAATGCAGACGCGGTTGTGTGGGAAAGCGCTCTTTGTAGGAAGCCCTTCACGAACACTCTGAACTCCAACGTTGCCTCTAGCCTGCAGCCCAGGCCCCGGAGGGACCCTTTCAGAAGACTGCACTCTTGCCCTGCCAGCCTTAGAACTACTAGAGCATTTCCAGCAGGTCAACCTTTGCGTCGATCTGCTTTTAAATGCTCTGTTTCAGCCCCAGCGCATGAGGACACGGCTGCCTCGCATGAAAATCCACACGGGGCGTTGAATGGATTGTTCCCCATTTCTGTTTCGAGCTTTGTGGTGCTGACGAGGGCCGCACAAAGAATTCTTCGACCTACCGAATGGTGAAGGAGGAGGAGGGCAGCCACCTTCCAGGAGCCCCAACTCCAAGCCAGGAGTCCGACTGGGGGCCTGGGGTGATGCACGGGCAACTCTGGAGTCAGGCAGCTGAGCCTCATATTCAGGCTCCACTAGCTAATAGCTGTGTGACCTTGGGCAAATTAATTACCCTCTCTGAGCTTCTGTTTCCTCATCTGTAAAATAAGGTTGATAATAATCACCACGTTGAAGTGATTATGAAGATTAGATGGGACTTTCTGTGGAAAGCCTTGGAGCAGTGCCTGGCTCTAATACCTCTGAATTATTCAATACAGTTTGAATAGATATATACATATGTATACACTTAACCTCTCTGAGCTTGCATTTCATCTGTTTACATGCACAGATACATTCATACATATACATACACACACATGCACACATACATCTCCCCACCCCTCCTCAGTGAATTAAACTTAATTTTGGTTTGTAAGTTGGCAGCTCTGCCCGAGATAACTAATGAAGCCAAGGGAGCTGGAAAGCCAGTGTTGGAAACGCGGAATCTGGACTCAGCCGGTGTCCCTGAACGAGCGACCTCCAAGCCCCAGTTTTCTGGGCCTGCCAGCTTTCACTTTCTCTGGCGTCTCTTTTCTTGCCTCCCTCTGCCCTCCCCAGATACTCCCTCTCCCCTCCAGGAGATGGTTTGGGAACAGGGGTGAGGGCTGCCCTCCTTGGCGAGCTCTGGAACCCACGTCAGGCGCAGGGAAGCACCATCATTTCCAAAGCAGGAAATCAGGTCTCCTCCCAAAGCCCTGAAGTTTACCTTATAATTACGGCCAATTATCTTTGTCCTTTCAATCTGTGTTTCGTGAGCTTTGGGGAAAAGCGTCCGAGGGCCTCTTTTCACGGCATTTTCTTCTCTTTGACACGTGACACTTGGCACTCAATTAGCCCGGGAAGGAGGCATGTACCTGGGTCATTTCCTGCAGTCCCCACCCCAAGCCCAGCCCAGCCGGGAAAGGGCGTGGAGCTCACCACACTGCTGCTCGTGCACATCTCTGAGGGCACGGCCCCAGCCCAAACCCAGGGCTGACAGACATTTTAGTGACTATCCCGACTTTTCCTCCTTTCCCTTGGGCTGGCAGCCCTCGTTACAGCCTCGCTGAGTGTCAGGAGACACCGGGAGCTGTAACACACACCCAGGAACCTCTCAGCCATTCTAGACCAGAGCGTGGTCAGCTTCCACCCCATGAGGCACTGGCAGAGCCAGAGGGCGTCTGCTAAGCTGGCCCAGAGGAGGGGGTGTGCCTGGGGTCCGGGCAGAGAGGGCCAGAGTGAGAGGTGGGCGGTGGCGTGCCCCGGCCGGGCCCTCTGGGTTTCCGCCAGCCCCTCTCCTGGCTCTGCCCCCTCCCAGCACAGGGCCTCAGCTCGGGCAGCCTCCCTCCCTTCCCGCCATCCGCTCCTTGCCCTTTAGATTCCAGCTCCACCCCCGCCGCCCTCCCCAGAGCAGCTTTCTCCAATCTTCACATGGAAGTCAAATCTCCCTACTTCCGGATGTCATAGCAACCTTGATTCCTCTTCTTTGTAGCGCTTTTCACGGCTGTCATGTCACATGCGCCTCTGAGATGATCGAGTGAATGTCAACCTCCCCCACTAAACCGTGAGCCCACGCGTGGAGGGGTCATGCCTGTTTTGTGTACCACTGTCTCTCCAGTGTTAGCAGAGTGCCTGACGCAAGTGGCACCCAACAAATATGTGTTGAGTGAATGAATGGGAGACTGAACGTGGCTTGCATGCCTGTGCCCGTGTGTGTTGCTTACCCGGCCGCAGCTGCGCAGCTCCTGGGACATTCTCGAGAGGCCTCCCTGCCTGTGGGACTCTTTGAGCTTCCCCAGGGGCAGAAATAACGTTTTATCCACAATAGTAAGAGCCCTTCAGGAAGAGAAGGGCCTCTCTTTCATTTAACTGGGGGCTTCTGGGGCAGGAGGAACCCCTGAGGAGTTAGTGTCAGGAGCTTGGGCTATGGAGTAGGAAGGCTCCTGGGTGAAGAGTGAGCAGAACCCAGAGCTAAGATCTCATCTGTAAAATGGGTGTTTTTAAGGTGGAGCAGGATCATGTTTGTAGAAGTGCTTGGTAAGCCGTAGTGCCTGTGGGCCCATGTTTTGACGATTATCCTGTGCTGTTTCTGGTGTCAGACTGAGGGACTGTGGGGGAATCTAGAAGGCAGGGTGCAGAGCAGGGGACTGGGGGTGATAGAGAAAACGAGACAACAGCCCTGCCACTTGCATTCTGGACACTCGTCACCTGCCAGGCAGAGGCTTGGGGAGGGGAGCTTCCGGTCCCCGTGTGCAAGCTGCTGCCTGCCCCCTGCTGAGGCTCTGACACCACCTTGCTGGGACCCATTCAGGTAGGGCAACCCCAGGCTGTCTTGCTTGCAGGGGTGAAGTGTGACGGATGCCCGCAGTGGCGGGATTACGGGGTGTCGGTGGTGGTGGTGGGGTACTTACAGCTCCGTCACGTCCTTGGGGATGCCTTTGGGGAGGGTGCGGAGCCCCTTGTTGCTGCATCGCACCACCGTCTCCATGCAGGTGCACTGCTCGGGGCAGCGCGGCCCCAGCTGGCAGCTGCTCTCATCATTGCCTGTGGAAAGCCGGGGAGTGAGCATGGCGCAGGGCTGCGAGGCCCATTCCCCGACCCAGCTGCCTGCAGGAAAGGGAAGCCCTCCGCTTCGAGCCGGAACTGGGAATGAGGAGCTTGCTGGTCTTACCCGTGGTTGGAAGGGAAAGAAGATGCACCTGGGTTGGGGAATAGGGCCGCCCATCTTCGACCACATTTAACATAAAACAAAGACGCTAAAAACTTGATTAACCAGGTGTTAGAAATGGAAGAGGTTACTGTTAACCAGAGCTGGATAAGCCAAATTGACAGAAGGAGTGGTCAGGGTAGGGGCAGGGCCCTATCTACTCCCTTCCTTCTCTTCCCTCTCTCCACTCCTTCCACTATACAATCCCTCTGGCGTGGTCAACGTGTCCCCAGCCCCCATTATACCTTAACCTCAGTTCATCTACAAACCAGTTCATCCGTCTCTAGATAACCTAAAGTTGACCAAGTAAAAATTGTGCTGGCTTGAATTTATGCGAACAAATATGCCCTCTGGAATCCTGACACTCAAAGCCTTGAATCTTCAGGTATTCGTACTGCCTAGCCAGTGACAGGAATTTCCCAGAAGCTCATCTTGAAGTCTGTTTCTCACGAGCACATACTCTCAGCCTCATGATGATGCAGAGCTCCCACGTACAGTTGTGTCCGTAGCGTACGGCACAAGGGTGCCCCACCATCTAATGGGTGCCAACCTCACTGTGGATACGGCAGATTAAGATATTTGGCACAACAGTGTCTTCACAGACGGCTGTAAAGCATCTCGTTTTAACAAAAGCAGTATATTATGACAGATTTCTGACTGATGGAGGTCATATGTCTTTAGAAAGAGGCACCTGTTCTTAATTTGCATGACAGAGCCATGTGAGCTAGAAGCAGGCCTGCAGAGCCCTCCAGAGCTCGGGCTGCATGCTGAGGGCAGAGGAGAATCAGATCTCGGGGCGGGGGGGGGGGGGGGGGGGTCGACCCGGTCGGTTCATTTCTGGTCTGACTACAGGGCCCAGGGATCCCAAAGCTCGTTTCATATCACTGGCTGGGGGGGGGGGGGGGGGGGGGGGTCCTGACCTGCAGTTACCGCCTGCCTGCACCTCTTTTCTCTTGGAGCGTCCTTGTCTTCCCAGGTGTTGCTCCCCTGCCCCGCCCCCAGCCTTCTTACCTTCACAGGTGAAGTCCTGGATGGCCACGTCCTGGATGGGAATCTCCTTGAGGAAAAAGGGCTTCTGGCACCGGGGGTTCCCACTTACGATTCGCCTCTTCCTCAACCACTTGCCGAGCCAGGCCAGGTGGCAGTTGCAGTTGAAGGGGTTGGACAGGAGGTTTCTGGGAGGAAGAGAAGGGCCCTCTCTGAATGGTTAGCCTCTACCCTTATCCCGTGGGAGCTGGTCCTGGGATCCAGGTCTGCAAGCCTAGGGCCTGGCTCTCCAGGCAGGTCTGCTTCCGGTTCAGGGGAAGGAGAAAGGACGAAGGAGGTAGAAGGTCTGGGAAAAGGAAGGCAGACTCTCTTCTAAAACCCGGAGGCAGTCTTTGCAAGGGTCTCATTCCAGACCTCCGCGGATGGATACAGTCGCCACCATGCCCTCCTTTGTTTGATGAGCTCCAGCTGTGTGAACTGCCTCAATTCCTCCGCAGAGATTTTCTTACGCTTAGAGCCTTCACGTGTGCTGCTCCTCCGGCGGGGGATGAATTTTTCTACGGTGTGCCTGGCTGGCCCCTCCTCTTCCTTCAGCCCTCAGCTTAAATGACCCCTCCTCAAAGAAGCCCCTCATCTCAAGGGAAATGAAAACTTCTGCCCTGTCCCGTTCTCCCGCCTCATTCCCCTTCATTTCCTCCACAGTATCCATCCGAGCTGGGAACGCCTTCCTCCTTGGACTCTCAGTTCCCGGAGGGGAGGGACCAGGTCTGTCTGTCCTGCTCTGTGTCTCCAGGAACTAGCAGGACATCGGCCTAGGCACTTTATACGAATCTGTCAGATGCAGTGATGGGACAGATGGAGGGATGAGGGCAGCTATCACTTTCTGAGGGTTTTCTAGAGGACAGGAACCGGGCTGAGTGCTTTATGAATCCATTTTCTCATTCAGACTTGTCACAGCAACCCTAGGAAGGAGGGGACAGTATTCTCATCTCACAAATGAGGAATGTAAAACTTAGGCAGGTTAGAGAAGAGAGCTGGAGAGCCCTTGAGGGGCTGCGGTTTGACATGGCAATTAAGGGCTCGGGAGTCAGTCCTTCCCGGGGTTGATTCTGGCTCTGACACTCAGTAGCTGTGAGAAGGTGGGCAAGTTCCTTCCCCTGTCGGAGCTGGTTCCCTTCATGCTTTGTGGCTCTCGCCCTCTTGGCATCTTTCGTGCCTTTGGATTCCCAGTGCAGAGGCATCCAGGAGGGGTGAGAAGTGGGCTGAGATCAACCAACCCAGCCATGCTAGTTCTAAGCCACTGTCCTCTACCTTCATGTCACTCATTCATTCAACTCATCCGCTTATTCAACCATCATGTAACATGGGCTTAGTGCCAGGCTCAGGCGTAGGCACTGAGGAGAGAGGCGTGAACAAAACAGTCATATATCCCCCTGCTTCATCCTTCTGGAACGTACGCTCCAGCCGATGGGAGGCAGACAATATGTCATTAACAACAAAAAAGTATAGTATGTTAGGAAATGGTCAGTGCTATGGAAAAAAATGAGAAGAGCAAGGCTGGAAGGACTGGGGGTGATAGCAGAGGGGTGGAATGGGGCTGAGGCAACTGACATTTGAGCAAATAATAGGAGGGGACGGAGCCAGGGGGAGGGCTTTCCAGGTAGTGGGAACAGCCAGTGCAAAGTTCTAAGGTGGAAGTGGGCCTGGGGCGTGCGCAGAACAGTGAGGCCAGTGGGGCTGGAATGCAAGGAGGTTCTGAGGGGCTAGACGGCATGGGGCCTTTAGGACGTTCTGTAACTTTGGCTTTTATCGCCAGTGGGGTGGCTGTATGGGAGCATGACCACGGGCAGTAACAGGAGATGCAGCAATAGCCTTTTTCTTCTGTCTTCCAGAGGGTCTTTGGAGAAGGGAAGGGAAGGAAAAATGAACCGCCAACTAAGGGTAAGAGAGCCACATAGAAATACTATGAGAAACCATAAAAGCTAACATGTGCTGAGTACTTTTTATATCTCAGGCCCCTGCTGTGCATTTTACCAATATTAACAAATACAGTCCTCATAACAATCCTGTGAGGTGGATTATGAGAAGGGACAATTAAAGCACAGAGAGATGAAGTAACTCTTCCAAGGCACACAGCTAACAAGAGGTAAAGCGAGGATATGGACCCAGAAAATTTGGCTGTAGAGCCCAAAGCTTTCACCATTATTCTAAACAGCCACCCTTACCAATACAGTGAATATTGTGGGCAGAAATATTCGTCCAGAAAGCTAGATTCTAACTGGTTCTGATACACGTTTAAGCAGTCAGTGACATCATTTTAAAACCCCCTGTCACGTCATGTCACTGGCCTGCTTAAAACCGTCTGTGGTTTCCTGATGTGTTTTGGATAAAGACCAAAATGGCCCACGGCAGTCCTGCAGCCTGGCCCTGGTCTCCACTCCAGCCTTGCCCACTCTGTACTATGACCACATTGGACTTTGCTCAGTCCTGCATATCTGCTCTGCTTCAACCTAGCACAGGGCCTTTGCACATGCTCTTCCCGCTGAAAGAAATACACTTCCTGCTTTCGCAAACAAGCCAACTCCCACTCACCTTCCAGGGCATAGCTCCAGTGTTCCTCGACAAAGCCTATGTTAGGCTCTCATATCACTGTGGACCTCCCTTCTGTGGCAACTCTCTATGCTGTGAGCTCCAGGAAGGAGGGTCCACGTCTGTGAATCCTCAGTAGCAAATGGTGCCTGGCACATGGAGGGAGGCTGCCAAGTGTTTAAGTTGACAGATGGATAGATGACCTTGGGCCAAATATAGTAGGGCGTTGTGAGAGGAGAGGTCTGCAGGAGAGGAGCCCTGAATGAGTGCGCCATTGGTCCAGGGGGACTTACATGGTGGACAGGGAGACAAGCGTGGTGAAGGCTCCGGGGGTGATGGTGGTGATCCGATTGTCGTAGAGGGAAAGCAGCCTCACTGAACTCAGGCCAGCAAAGGTGTCATTGCTCACACAGCTGATTAGGTTACTCCTCAGCATCCTGCAGGGAGAGGGGGTGGGGTGAGTAAACACAGGTGTCATCCTTTCCCTCCTATGACTGTGCCTGTGCGTGTGCGTGTGCGTGTGTGTGTGTGTGTGTGTGTGTGTGTGTGTGTGTTGGGATGCTTTTGCCAAATCCAAGCTCAGACCACTCACATTGCTGAGGTTTGTCCTGTGATGGCTGGGCCCGGGTCCCCACTGGGGCTACCTGTAAATGTGTATGCACATTCTTGGCTGCAGATGCTGTATTTACAGTAGAAGCGGGTGTCATGCATGTGTACGTGTACATGTGTATATTGTATGGTGGTTAGTGTATGTACGTAGATTTTGGGGAGGAGAGGGAAGAGTCAAGGTGTGGCTGTGGACATCAGCTTGTGTGTATGTGTGTGTGCTTATATGCACATGCTTGTTTGTCCACATGTTGCATGTGTGTCTATATGCCATTTTCATGTACATGTGTAATGCCTATGTTTGTGTACATGTGTGAGTGTGTGCCTGTTTCTGGTATGAATCTATACCTGTGTATACACTAGGGCTAGTGTCTTTTAGTGTGTGTGTGTGTGTGTGTGTGTGTGTGTGTTGGGGGGTGCTTAGCATGCTAAGTTCTTTCCCATCCAGGGCTTGGAAATGTCTAATGTCTCTCCCGCTCCAGGATTCAGCAGGCCAGGACAGCGCCCGGGCCTAGTCCGCTGCCCACCAGCCCTCACAGCCCCTGTGATGCCCCTGTTCTCCCAACCCCCTCCCTCTGGCCTTGGCCCAGGCCCTGGGAACTCACAAGGTCTTGAGGCCGCTGAGGCCACGGAACACGCGCCCATGCACTGTTTCCAGCTGGTTCCCTGTCAGCATCAGCTCCTGCAGGCTGGCCGCTCCATCAAAGGCACCCTCTCTCACCTCCTTGATCCTATTGTTACTCAAGTTTCTGGAAGGAGGGGACAGAACAGGTCAGGACGCAGGGAGGGAATGGCTGGCCCTGCAGCCAGCTGGGGGCTCTAAAGTGCCCCCTGGCCCTAGGACTGGCTGGTGGAGGCTCCACCTTGGGCTTCCCGATGTTTGGTCTTCAGCACCTATGCCTCAGGAAGCAGGGAGCCCAGCACCCCCATGGGGTGTGGATAGGTGGACTACCTGTGTGAAACAGACTGTGTAGCATTTGAAGTCTTTCAGTACAATTGTCTTTTCAATGCCCTGGGGACTGGCAGATTTCTAATGGTTCTCAAACTTATTTTCTCTCTTCCACGGATACTCTCACTAAGTAGTGATTCTCAAGAGGAGCACAGGAGGAAAATATAAAACATGCCTGCTCCCTACGGGGTGAGGCATTTGTAGAACCTTCGGCTCTTTCACCATCTGAGAGCCCTGATATAAGTGGACCCTTTCTAGTTACTACAGTTTGTACACTTACTAGGTACTAGGCACCATGTGAGGGGTTTGACCAACAGAATCACATCAAATCCTCAAAACAATGCCCATCAGATGGGCATTATTTTTATCATTGTCCTGTTTTATGGATGAGGTGACTGAGGTTCAGAGAGACTCAATAACTTACCCACAGTCACACAGCTGATAGCACTGGGATCGGAGACCATGCTTTCGGGCACATAGAAAAGCCTCCAGTGAACCACTTTTCCCAAGTGAATGTTCGTTTGACGATGTGGATGCCCATCCCTTCTATTGCTGCTCTGCAGAATTCAGGATTTGGGACGCTGTGTTTTCCTAGGTGGGCTCTGTCCTTTCAAGTCTCGGTGCTGCCATTTCCAATACTGCCCTCGAGCTCTGAGAGCGGGCTCTTCCCTCCGACGCCCAGCCACCACGCGGCAGGCTGCATGGGATAACTGAGCAGCTGCAGAACTATAGGTACTGTGAGCGGCAGGGGGTCTCCACAGACCACCCAAATGTTCAGGCCTGAAAGGTAGCCCCAGCTGGCTGGCTGGAGCAGAAAGTGATGGAGTTACAAAAGCTGAGGGAAGAATCCAGCTTCCCCAGCAAACATCCTGGGGGGGCCTTGTTCTGTGAACAGGAGACCCGTAGGTGGAGACACAGCTGCTAACTGGCTGAGCACCCTGAGCTTGTTGGAACTGAGGGCTCAGGAGAGATGGACCAGCTGGCCCATTGTACTGCTGGACATACTGAGGCCCAGGGAGGGGAGGCCACTGCTCCTGGTCACAGAGCACTGAAAGGGACATAGCGCTCCATGAGTCCCTGGTACTACCGCTTCTCTCAGGTGCCCTCCTTGTGCAGCTCTGGCCCGACTCACGCACCCCTGGGGGTAGAGCCTCCTACAGGGATGGTACAGAGCAAGTAAAGCTCAACTGGGCACCCAAGGGCTCGATACAGGTTGCCTGCCTGCCCTCTTCCCAAATAGGGACTGGGTGTGCGGGGGTGGCAGTGCCCACACCCGTGGGCAGGTGTGGCGGAAACAGTTCCCAGCCTCGCATTGTCTGCTCCCTCTGTGCTCCTGGTCACGGCCTTCCTGGCCTCGCTCCTCCATCCTGCTGAGAAAACAGGTGCAAATACCCCTCAGAATCCCTCCCCTGAGATCTGACAGAGCTGGGAGATTCTCAAACCGGATTTCTGCTCCCTGCCTGACTCTCTTGCAGCTCAGCCGGTCTTCTTATAAATCCTGCTAGCCCTGGTCCACGATAACTCGGAAATGAAGGCCATACACAGGGGAGACTGCAAATTACCCCCAAGTTCGACATGGGAGGAGAGAGAAAGCCTTTCCCAGCAGGTACAACGCATCCAAATGCCGGGCTTTCTCCTCCAGCTCGAGAGAGTTAGGCTTCTTGGGGGACTATAGTACGTGAAGATGAGTCACGGCAGCTAGAAAGTGGGAGGTTCCCATTTCCTGCCATCTTTCTCTTTAAACGAGCAGAATTAACATCACATTACTGTAAGGTTTGTGAACTGGATTTCCTCGGGCTGGGAGAATGGAAAACGTAAGGAGAGTGAAGAAAGGGGGTAGAATTTTCCAGAAGACCAGGCTGCTGATCTCTCTCCATCCATCAAAGCACCACACAAAACTGCAGGCAGCTTGGGCCGGAGGACAGAGAGACAGCAGTTTGGGGCAAGCGCTCCAGACACAAACCCAGTGCCTCAGGGTTTTGTAAGAGCTCCACCTTATTCTCGGAGCCGTATCTTCCTGAAGATGCCCCAGATCCCAGGAAACCTCCAAACGCAAAACTAAGGGCACTGAGCCTCTCTCCATTTTTGTCTCTGCAGACCCACCTGAAGGATTGCTGCTTCATCATGGCTTTGACTCCCGTGAGGATGGGAATCTCACATCTGAAAGGACCCAGCCTCAGAAACGCCCACCCCAGGCCAGGGCTGGCTCAGAGTGGTCCACGGCAGGACAAACCCAGTGCTCGGCCACGCTGCCTCGGCAAACTGCTGGGTGTACCTTTCAGAACCTGTTCTCATTCTTCCCAAGAAACACCAAGGCCCCTGGAGGCTGGGGGATTCATCCCTGGAAAGCCTGAGCCTGAAGACACGAGCCTGGACCTCTTCTAGGTCTCTGTCTCTTCAGGTTTGTAGGACAGCCCATACATGAACTCTGGCGACAGAGAAGCATCTGTAATCCTGTTTAAAAGTCCAGTCCTCAATGCAAATACAGTTGGGAGAGAGCTAAGCGGAGTTTTCTGGAAGCCGAGGATACCGGGTCATGATGGAGCAGCACACTGGCACCCTGTCAGGTCGGGGAGGTCCTGTGTACCTCCCTTATGGACCTCTCCGGCCCCCTGAGGTGGAAATTCTACTTCGAGCTGGGGTTACAAGCTCAAACGTCCACAGGGTCCACGCAGGTGACCTAAAATTGGAAGCAAGCCCAGTGGGGACGGCAGTGATCAGGAAAGCACGTGGCCCAGCTAGGGGGCAGCCGTTCCTCAGCTCAACTCGACTGGAGCCGTTTGGAAACATGGGCTCAGTTTTGCCAGATCCTCTGATTTTCCCAAAGGTGCTAGAAATCCACATTTATTTTTCTGTGGAAGCTCCTGATTTTTAAAAGAGGGCAACTACTTATTAAAAACACAACCATCATGGACCTAGAATCTTTCATACAGAGTGAAGTAAGTCAGAAAGAGAAAAACAAATACGGTCTGCTAACACATATATACGGAATCTAAAAAAAAAAAAAAAAAATGTTTCTGAAGAACCTAGGGGCAGGACAGGAATAAAGATGCAGACGTAGAGAATGGACTTGAGGACACGGGGAGGGGGAAGGGTAAGCTGGGACGAAGTGAGAGTAGCATCGACATATATACACTACCAAATGTAAAATAGATGGCTAGTGGGAAGCAGCCGCACAGCACAGGGAGATCAGCTCGGTGCTTTGTGACCACCTAGAGGGGTGGGATAGGGAGGGTGGGAGGGAGAGAGACGCAAGAGGGAGGGGATATGAGGATATATGTATACGTATAGCTGATTCACTTTGTTATACAGCAGAAACTAACACACCATTGTAAAGCAATTATACTCCAATAAAGATGGTAAAAAAAAAAAACAAACCCCCAAAACCCCACAACCACGACCACCAAATCCACCCTTGGGATTTGATTTTGGCTAGAGGGGTGCTAGGTTTCAGCTTCTGCTTGAGATGCTCCTTCAGTGTAAGAAGTGACCGGAAAGTTGGCCCGAGAGAGGCCGTGACCCCACTCTGAATGGGAGGTCACTTGAAAAGCTACCTTGAGTTACCACAGTCCTAATAACCTTTGTGGGGAACAGCTCACACCTCTTTTTGCATCCCTACTTATGGAATCTCATTATTCCCACATGACAGGAAGGGGCACAGAGGTTCAGAACAGTCTGGAAAGGCACCGCAGAGTCCAAACTCCTGGCCGTGTGTCCACTCCCCTCTGCCTCCGTGCCCTGTCGGGGTGCTGCCGTCCAGACTGTAACCTTAGGGCCCTGGCTCCACAGTCCCTGAGGAAGCTGAGCAGCCTCGGTCACAGGCACTGCTGGCTTTAACCACCCTGATGGGCAGAATTCCAGCTGACCCATCACCTCACGGGAGTGTAGGGGTGGTGACGGGTCCTAGCAAATAAGGACTGTTTACTTAAAAAGAGTCACCGTCAAGTTATTTTAAATAAGTGGTTGCAGCTGGTGGTCTTTGGGACCAGATCTGCCCTATTGGGACATGTGCTTGGTTGGCTGGCACTATATGTACCTGGATTTAGGCACACACGCGTGCACACACACGTGTGCACGTGTGTACTGCCCTCAGGTAGTGCGTGCGTTCCCCAGCTACTCTGCACTGTCACCACTCCTGGCTTGATTTTTAAACTTGGACAGGTTACTTCCTGTGTTTCAGCTTCCTCATTTGTAAAATGAAGCAATCTCAAAGCTGTTTTGTTTTTCTTGGTGAGGGGTAATTGCTTGAGTATCAGCAGAGTCTGGCACACAGCGTAAAGTGTTTAGTAACTGTTTGTCGCCATTATCATTATTGCTGCCTTGCACCCATTCCCTTTCCACAGGGGGTCCTGAAAGCATTTGAGTTTGTAACTCCTGTTTTATATGTATAGCCATCTGCTCTGGGTCACTTGACCCAGATGTCCTCTTTCCGTCTTCCAATCCAGCACCTTCGCACTGCAGTCCCATGGACAGAGGCCATGTCTTTCCCCTTATCTCTTATACTTACTTCTGGTCCTCATCACACCTTACAAGGAAGGTGGACTTGTTTCTATTATGAAAGGCCCAGAAAGGCTAAGGGCATTCCTAGGGTCACACAGCAGGCGTGGGGCAGAGCTGAACTCAGAACAAATGCCGGCCTGCCTGTTCTTCCGCCATACCTGGATTTCCAGCTGCTCCCGTGAAGGGAATATTTGGCAGCTCTGACCTTCCTTCCAGCATGGCAGATGCTGGGAGGAACTTAGTGACATCTGCCCCTTTTCGTGAGGACTCTGCCTACATTTTGCCACAGTCCGCACCACTCCCTTTTGTGGCTTGGATGCTGAGGCTGGGAGTTGGCTGTGACTTATCATTGCATTTGTGCTGTTGTTTTTGTTGGTGTACAGAAACAGTTCTTCATACTCAGGTCCCTCTCAAAACTAGGAAGATGAAGGACTCAGAGTGCTTGAGTTTCACCTAAAATGGGAGAGCGCATATTTCCTCACGGAAGCAAAGACTTCCATGATCCTGTTTACTGTGCAAATATGCACTTGGCCAGCTTTACTGGTTTTAATACATGCCTTATCTCCACGTGCATGTAAATTTGTTTTGAGGTTAAAAAAAAGTATGCATTTTCGGGGGTTGAATTTAAAAGGACATCTCCTGGCAGGTGATGGGTGATGTCTGTGCTGGGTTCCTGAAGCTAGAGGTGGGCTTGACCACTCTGACAGCCATGAACCTCACCAGGACCCACGTGTGTCCTCCCTCTGCTGCCCCCTCAGTTACAGTGCTCTCCACTGCTCTCAGTTACGGAGTTGTCCCTGAGGCCGTGGCCAAGGTGGCAACTGTGGGCAGGGAGGGAATAGCACTGATGCGATCCAGATGCTGCCCAGGGCAGGGGAAGGTCTCTCTCCTTCTTGCCTGCAAGGGACTGATGGGTGCAAGAGTGGAGAGCAAAATAAAATAAGGGTTACAATTAATTCTCATTATTCATCGTGGCTAATGTCTGCAAAGTCACTGGGCAAGATGAATTAGTGAATGCTGAACCACTGCTCCTAGGGGAGCCTCTGGTCACCATTTTCATTAACCGATCAATACCTAACCTTGTTTGATGCATGTTTCTGTTTAAAGACATCTTATTGAACATATATTGTTGATTTATTCACATTGCACTCACAGCCAACAGCACTATAACTCTTGCCTGAACAAAGCTTACGTAACACGTATTTTCTCCGTAAGGCACATCGCAGCCTTCCTATGCTTAGGATCACTAGACAGCCCTCCAGTGCTACGCTACGGGGCCATTTTAAAAAGTGAAATCACCCACAAAAGCACAAACATGCAAAAAAAGAAATGTGGCACTAAATATATTGTGGATTGGACACTTGTTTACAGTCTGGGAGCTGAAAAAAGAAATCAGAACGTGGCCTTGTTCGATTTCAGCTGGGGACATGCATGTAGGAGGACTCAAATTTTTTGCTGCCCTGTCTATGTGTATGAATGACCATGAAAGCACTGCGCGTATTGATTCTGAGATTACACATAAATGTTAGTGAGTAAGCGAATCAGCAAATACAGGGTCTATGAATAATGAGGCTTGACCGTTCTCCTTTGTTCCAGAGGCAGACTCAAACTCTGGGGCCGGGACATGTGGAGGATGGGGTGGGAGTGGGGAGCAGGGTCAAGGAGAAGGGAATTAGATGGCAAAGAGCCCCCTGTCCATGCTGGTACCTCTGCTGGCACACCTGGGATGGGAAGGGGAGGGGGAAGCAAGGCCAGCTGTGCACCAGTGTGCTTACAGATGAAGGAGGTGAGGCAGCTGTGGCATCTCCACTCCAGTGTGTCTCAACCATGTGGAGGCCTTTAGGGTCCAATCTAAAAACAGACCTTCTGACTGTTACCTCATAAAAAATACTAAGTGATGTGCACCCTAGATCCCCATGTCCCGTTGCTGGTCCTCGCCTGAGTCCCTCCGACCACCCACTGGGGTAGACATTGGGTGTGGGGTGGAGGATGGGGGTGAGCAAGGATGGGGTGAGGGTCATGGATGGTGCAAAATACATGCTCTGCCTCTGCATGGCCCTGCCTTAGTGTCTTGCTTCCCAGGACGTGCCCATAGCAGGGTCAGAAGGAGACTGGGAGGGGCTGCAGCAGAGGGAGAGGGAGCCGCCCGTGCCCTGGTGTTCTGCTCCAGTTTGCCAAATTCCTGAGACTGACTTACATTTTCCGCAGGTTGGGCAACTTCTTGAAGATACCGGTGGCCTCTAGAACAGATATCTCATTGTCGTTCAGTCGGCTACATGGGAAGCAAGCAGATGAGGCGGTGGGTGAGCTGTGGATGGGACACCTCCTCCATCGGTCCCCCATCCCCCCGTGGCTTCAGCTGAATTGCCACCTGGACCTCACTCGGTCCAGGTCAATAGCACCATAGAAACCCTCCGTGTACCCCGTCAGTATGGGGGCCCCAGCAGCGAGAGGAGGGGGGTGAGAAGGGGCCAGAAAGGAGAGGAAGACCCTCTGCCGAAGGCGTATTCAGCTTTTTGAACGCTCAGCACTTAACAGTCAAGTGCCAATGATCTGCCTCCATTTCGTAGGGGTACCAATGAGCACTTACACCCCCAGGGAGGTTTCCCCAGGTTCTTCCAACTCTCCAAGCCACTCAGGTCTTTCCTGACCACATCCCTCTGCTAAGGGCAGCTCAGGGACTCCGCGCCCAACATTCATGTAAGCTCAGGGAGAGCAGGAGAAAGTCACAGATAATAATAATAATAATAATAATAATAAATAATAATAAAGACCACCATCATTTACGCAGGGCTTAGTCCATGCCAGGATTCAAGATAAAGTCTGTGCTCGCATCCTCTTACCTAATCTTTGTAACCCCCGTAGGAGGTAGGTATCAACACCTCCATTCTATAGCTCAGAATCGGATGCTCAGATCTGAGAAGCAACTTGCCCAACCTCAGGAAAACTGGAGACGACACGAGTCAGGCCCAGATCCGTCACCCACACCCCCACCTTCCCGCTGTAACTTTGAGCTCTGCCACTTCTGGATAAACCAACATGCCTCTTTATTAGCATGGATAACCAGAGCCTCAGATACACCTGATCGTTCTAGCTGTTTTATCACTTTAGGACAGTCATTTATGCGCTATCCATCTTTCCGGTATTGTTGTAAGCTTCCTAAGGGCTAGGAGGGGTGGTCTGCTTTGTTCACCATGGAAACGGGTGGGCCTGGCACAGTGCCTGGCTCGCAGCAGGTGTTCGGAAAATCTTTGTATCAATAGAATGCATGAGCTGTCTTTGTGAGCAAGCTGTCCCCTGCGGATGCTTGGGGGAGTCTGCCCTCGTCCCAGGACGCAGGGGACACCAAGGAACACCCACGTGACTGAGCCGGGAGGGCGCCACCTCTAGGAGCCCACACCCACCCTGGCTGGCTCAGGGAGACTGGGCGTGGGGATGTGCAGGGGCTCCCGCCTGGGCAGCACTCACAGGTCGGTGACGTATTCGGGGAGGTGGCTCGGGACACGGGCCAGCTTCTGGTTGGAGCAGTCCACGATGGTGCCCTCGCAGCGGCACCTGTCCGGGCACACGAGGTCCATGAAGCACTCGCTGCTGAACCTGCTGCGGTAATCCTCCGAGCCTGGGGAGGCGCCAAAGAGGAGGCGTCAGTGGCAGCCGGTCCGGCATGGGGCGAGGTTGTGGGCACTGGAGATGGGGAGACACGGGGTGGGGGGATGGCCCAGTGACAGAGGCAGCATTGCCCTCATTTTTTGGCCACCTTGCTCTGCCTTCCCAGCACCCCAGCCTCCAGGCTGCTTGCTCTCCCTTCGGTCTTTGTCATTCATCACTTTCCATCTAAGGCCACAAGCTCCGTGGGCTCTTAAGTTTCTGTGGGTCATGGACCTTTTTGAGGTCCCTGTACAGAATTTGGTCTACGATTTATGGGGGGTACTTAGTCCATGATGCCCATGATCCATGGGCCCTCTAAATATTCATGAGAATCCAGATGAAGAGATTTTGATGGGGTTCTGATGGGAGCTACGCCAGGGGTGGGAATGAGGTCAGGGAAGAGGGTCATAAACTCAGTTGTCTTCAGGGACAAAGCAGGTAATGAAACGATAAAGGGGGCCCAGCACATGGCAATCAGTACCCTTGACACCCGGTTTCATTACTGGGAAGCAGTCATGAGAGTTGGGGTCCTGGGGAATTGAAGCCCACTGCCTTAACGTTTGGGATTTTGGCTCAGGGTTGCCTGATGATTCTTTAAAAAAAATATTGGTGATGAATTCAAATGTAAAACACTGTAAAGACAAGTACAACTCTTGCGAGGGTTAGATGTACCTGCTGCCTTTGAGAGGAAGCTCTGTTTAACTACAGTGAAAAGCCAGTTCCAATGAGCTAAAAGTAGTTGGAGCTAAGATTAATTTTTGAAATTGAATTTTTCTGGAGGTTACATACACAGTAATGGTAACAGGGCCAACGAAGTGCCGTCTTAAGAGATGCCCCGAGGAGCTGCTTTAATGATCAGAAATGATCCCCTGGCACCTGGGCGAACCTCTGTGAGACCACAAATCTTGCCCGAAATAAAAGGGAAGCTCTGGTTCTCCTATCAGACACGAGCTAGTTGATGGGGGTCGGGTCCCTTTTATTTTCACCTTCAGCGGTTCATCAGCACAATGCCAGGCACAAGAGCTCGGCTCACATCTGTCCAGTGCCTAAATGGGGTGTCCTTGGCACATAAATTGTTCCATACGTGCGTATTTCTGCAGTGTTGCAGAGAACGTGAATGTCATTTGTTTGCCTGGCTAGTTGAGGTGGACCTTGGCCACCTTATGTGTATTAGGAGCAGAACGGGGCATCTGCAGTACAGAGGTTTTAGCAATAGAAGGCGTGGATTTGCCCAGGCGTTGCCACTCACTAGCCTCAATCTCTCCACATGTAAAACGGGAATCACACAAATTGCCCCTATCTCACAGGGGCTGTGAAGATTTGAGGATGATCAAGGTGGTGGAGAGCCTCTGGAAAAGGGTCAGGAGTTGTACAGATGTTTGTGATTCTATTTTTTTTGAGCACCTAGTGGAACATTTGGCATGTCAGAAGCCGTTAAAACATCGGCATAGTGAGTGATGATAGCTGATGTGTACTGAGCGTGGATCACAAGCAGGACACTATTCTTTGAACTTCAAATGGGTGAGCCCATTAAACCTTCACAACACTCTGAGGCTATTACGACTCCATGTTATCGATGGGGAAACTGAGGCCTGCAGGTCACTCAGGACGTGGCAGAGAAACGAACCCAGGCAGGCTGCTGCCAGGGCCCATGTGACTAATACTTTGCTTTACTGAAGCTGTGCTTTTGGACAAAACCTTAATCCCAGACCTAGGAATGATCATAAAGTCAAGTTGGTGGAGGTGAGCTGAATGGCATTTTCCCTCAGTGGGCTGCAGGGAGACAGGAAGCAGATGTCTCCACTGCCCTCTTGGTTTCTCACTCCTCACGTTTTCTCCCCGTGGTAATGCCTGATTGGGGATGGGCTTGGTGGGTCTCTGATTCTGAAGTGACATCATCCACCTAAAACAGAAGGTCAAGGCCTGGACCTGTCTCTTTTCCTCTTTGCTCCTTCCCCATTCCCCTCCTTCATCTCACGTTCCACCCGCAGGCTTGTGTGAGCAAAATCTAAGCAGGTATTCCAGGTTTTTTGGGCGGCTCCCTGGTCCAGTGCATTATGCAAATTTCTTGCCCTTGGCTTGTCAGCATCCGTCCCACTGAATAACTCTGACCTGGGCTGTTTCCGGCCCCCCACCCACCGACGCATCAGCGTGCTGAGTCCTGGATGAACTGCATCGCGCAAACCCTGCTAGATGACAACCCTCTCTCATTCCCCACGGCGGTTCCCCACGGTGACTGTGTGAAGGGGCTTTTCGTACATATGCACGTATTTTTCCTTTGAGAAGGTGTCTAGGATGGGATCCTTGCAAAGCGGAGGAACCCTGAGTGATCAAAGCCAGAAAGACGGGAGGGAGCACAGTATGCTCGCTAACATGATGAGCCTGAAGATGTGCACCGGCTGGGCTGCGGCTGGGGACAGCCGCCGATTAAATGCGTTTCCGTTTCAATCAAGGTGAGAGCGTCTGTAGTTAGCAGGAATTGCTCTCTGTAGTATACTTAGATTATAACTGGCCGACCTGTGCAATGGAGCCGCTGACCCATTTTAATGAAATGATTTTGCAATTAGATTCGATGGACTAATGTGTTCTTTCCAACATTTTCCCCCCTGCCGTTTTTGTTATTGCCCTGGTTTGTAATAACGAGGGGGTCGGAGTTTGGTATTTTATATGAGTGGGAGCCAGAAATGTTAATAACGGCGTACGTACAAAACTGAAAGAGTGCGTTCCCCAGTCGGAGCCAGCCTGAAATGCCACCTCCATCGCTTCATATTTCATTACCCAAACTACTCAGGGTTTCTCGGAGCCATTTGTTATGCCTAATGCTCATAACTACCCAAAAGTATTTTTAACTTTTCCAGAGCTTTAAAAGTCAATTTCAATCTCAATGCATATTTGTCACTGCCAGAAATACTTAGTAGGAGAGAAGAAACTGAAATAGGCCATTGCTTCTTCTCTCTAGGGGAGTTCAGACAGGAGAGATCTCGGAGGATTTGAACAAGGGCCACAAAACCAGACGCCGGCTGAAATGGGTCTTGGGAGAGCTATGTCACCTGGCATCTCCTCTGCTCCTGCCCCCGTAGCCCTCCTCCTCCTTGGTGGGCAGCTCAGAACGACGACACTTGGGACGTGAGCACAGAGAAACTTCAATAGACCAGGGGAGTGGAAATCCACAGCAATGCGGTTTTATTATGAACCCCTGCCCTGCCGCCACTTCCCAGGAGAGGATGTATGTAATGTTTGGACGGTCAGGGGGTTGGGGCAGGTGGGGAGTCAAAGCTCCCATCCTTTGGATGGACTTGGCTGCAGAGGCCAGTGCTGGGCCCAGGATGGCTGCTGTCACTAGCAGTCTGCATTTTGCATCATCCTCTGGGCAACCAGTTTGTTTAATGAAGTCACAGATGCACGGTTATCAGGTCACCAAGGACCTGCCAACGCACGTGTCCAGAGTTCTCTTCTACCTCCAGTACCCCTAAGGTGGGTGGGATGAAAGAAGGAGGAAAGGAGCAGAAAGAGGAACTGGGTGCGGGGGG